CTGATGATAAATGATCTTGAAACATCTAGTATGGACGAGGTTAAATTCGTAGACGATCTTATATATGATGTCTGAAACTGTGCCCAAACTTAATTCAAGTAATATAAATATCCATGCAACATGCTTGAATGAAACACGTTTAAGGAACTACGTGTAGACGTTACAAAACTGAACGGATAGAAAAGCCCTAAAAATTGTGGAAAAAAAGCAAAAGTATACCCAAGTAACCATTGCGGTCAACTTGAAGTGGAATATTCATGTGAATAACGTAGTTCCAAACGGATATAGGCTACCTGTTAGTGCAGTTAAAACGAACACAAAAGTCCCGATCCAAGATATTCTGCAATTTTATATACCGTCTGTGTCCGTCCCATTGTGGAATACGCTTCGACTGTTTTCTAGGCCTACTACTCCTTACCAAAATACTTGAGTGATTTAATCGAATTTACATCATAAAAATGCATTGATTGAAGCTCATGGGATGGAATATTATACGATAGAAACCAACCTGCCTGTTTCAAACTTTTTAATCAGATTTTAGATAATCCTAACCACAAACTAAATAATTTAGTTCTTAAAACAGTGATTACCAATTGCGTAAAGATAGGAAGAATCTTGTCTAAAAGTACACACGAGTGACCATGAATGAGATGCACGTGTGAGCACGAATGACCACGTACGAGTGATTTCTGTTTTTAAAAATCATGAAATAATAATAGAAACTATTTTAAGGAGACTCCCTAGGGTTCTTGCATTTTACTACGCAATATAGTTATAGTATATATGAGAATTATCTTTTATGCAAAGTTTTAAAAAAAATTACCGAAGGAAATTTTTAAAATAGCCCACGTGCAGGCCCAAGGGAAGAATAGTGGGCCTGCAAGCAAGGCCTGGTATTTTGTAAAACGCCCCTTTTCACAACACGCCCCATTCGCGCGTCAATTGTCAAAAAAGGACCAATGACAGCAACCCAAATATTAACAAACAAACTCGCATTAAAATGTTGCGGTGTTCTCTGCTTTAATATTCAAAATAGAAACAATGTGTAAATGGCTGTGTTTTAACTCCAAAAAAGCAAGCAACGCAGTCAGTAATTGCCAAATTTGCAAGTGCTCATTTTCAACTAAAATCGGAACAGGCAAATTAGGACGAATTTCAACAGAAAACCAGTCTCAAACTTCAATTCGTGAGGGAAGTCGTGCGACCACATTAGTATTTAAATGTGTGCTTCGCTGTCGCCGTTGCTATAAATAAATTGTCTCACTTATCAGATCGTGTGTGCAATTCTTGTTGGCGGCGGAAAGTACGAAATTTATTTCAGTTATTTCATTTGGTAAAGAACTCTACAAAAGAAGAGAGGGTTCAGAGACCAGATCGTTTCGTTTCAAACGGCAATTATAATTACCGTCTTCTGTTTCGCTCTCTCAGGGCTCTCAGCGAAGCCTTGCAAATCGCAAAGTGTCTCGAATAGGCTTTATACATGCAACTGCCTCTAAATCTTCACCGCGAAAAGCGCTGTTTTCTTCAGTGCAAGAACAGTGAGGAATATCATTAAGTCTGTTTGAAATTAATGAAACTCAAGTAAAGGTTAATACTATAGTTTATCTCGGCAGTCGTATTAAATGTTGCTATTCCAACACTTCACGACAAGCAATCCCCATTGGCATAACAGCAAAAACATCTCTTTCTTCAAGCAAACAATAAACCATCTGTTCTTGTTCCATTTTTAATCGAAAAAAGTGATCAATTTTCGAATTTTAAGCTTATCGATTCGAGAGCATTTCTGATCAATCAGTGATCTAATTATAGAATCCAACAGCAAACAGCCAATCAGAATGCCGCGTTCGTGAGCGAACGCGGAAAGTACAAAATACCGGGCCTTGCTTGCAGGCCCACTATTCTTCCCTTGGGCCTGCACGCGGGCTATTTTTAAAATGGCCGGAAAAAGAAAAATTTTGAGCTTAATAATCCTAAGCACATTCGGTTGCCATATTAACGGACTTTCAGCACAAAAGTAGCAAATTGCAATGTTCAGGAGATCATTATCAATGTGTCTATGGTGTAGTATATTGCAAAAACATATTATAGTGTAGTATAATGCAAAAATCCTAGGGAGCCACCTTAAAATAGATTATATTGTTATTTTATGATTTTTAAACTCAGAAATCACTCGTGGCCACTCGTGTGTACTTTTAGACAAGACCCAATCTCAGGGATAAATTGATGAATAGAATCATCTTACAAAAGTGCGCAATTATATAATCAGACGTTAAGAATTCAACTCAAGCGCTTTCATTGGTCGACAGCCATGATATATTAGAGGACAGACGCAAGGTATTACGTCACAATTAATGTAGCCAATAGCATTCCCTTATTTGTACAGATCATGTACGCGTGATATTTGTAAAATTTCGACTTTTCAATTATAACGTCATACTGTGTATCTATATTTCGACTCTTCCAAATTATGACGTCATACTGTGAATCTATAACTGAATACACAACGACAAAATCTTATCTATTTGTTTTTAAAAATAGATAATCACATTATCTATTACTAAATTAACTAAACCCTAACCCTAAACTAATCCCGAGTCTAACCTCTAACATTAATATGATCTTAATTTGACACTAATCTAAACTTGACGACTTTTTTTCCAAAGTCTGACGATATACTGAACTGATATTATTGGATTGTCAGTAATTATGAATATATTTAAAATGAATTCCCATTATATGGAACACAAATTTAGACCAGCCAGTATACGCTGGACTTTCAAGAAAAACTGGCGGATCGGATTTGATTTGACTTTCTTATGATGGGTCAATCTCGTGCCCAGAGCAATGCCTGTGCGCGGGCTAGGAAGGCATTGGCTCTGGGGAAATTGACAACCGGAACAGCTAAATTTAGGGGTTCCGGTTCTTTGTCGGCATGCACGATTGACAAACGTTAAACCAATCACAGCACAGGAAAAATTCAATTTCCCCAGAGCCAATGCCATCCTAGCCCGCGCACAGGCATTGCTCTGGGTACGAGATTGATGATGGGTGTAAAAAAATCAGGCCCTATACAGTATATCACGTGATCGATGACGTCAGATTCTTATTCATCAAAAAATAAAATGTAATAACGTGTAAAAAACATGTTCAAAATTGATTAATATGTGAAAAGTATCAGCTGATGTCTTCATGGCTCGTACAAACTGCCGTCACTTTCATTTTGTCATCTTGCTCAAGTCGTTTTTTAAACTCTTTTATGAGGGCCTAAATAGGGGAGTCTGAAAATCCGTAAACGGTAAACATTTTGGTATTGTAACGGTAAAAATTTTGGTATTTTAACGGTAAAAATTTTGGTATTTTAACGGTAAATCTTTGAATCTGCTGAAAAGTGTTCTGAAACGATAAACAGTATTTTCCCTCACGTTTCATGGTAAACTTGATCGATATGCACCATTTAGATGAATGAGAATCCGTGGCAACTCACTTCCTTAGATTACTCCAAATATAGAGAATCTAATGAAAGCAAGAGATTTTCACAAAAAGAAAGCGGTTAAATTTAATTCTCAGTTACACTGGGCAAAGTATAAAGAGACTCGCAATAAAGTTAACTCTGAATTGTACAAAGCCAAAAAGAGGTATTTTCGCGACAAATTTGAGGATTGTGCTCAGACTAAAGATTCTAAACAAAGTTGGCACCATATTAGTCACCTCTTGGGTAGTAATTTTAAAACAAACAACATTCCCAATTAAAAATAGGCGACACTATTATTTCTGATAATTTGATGATAGCGGAGACCTTTAATGACTTCTTCGTGAGCATTGGGCCAAAGCCATTTATCTACAAAATATAGTGATTAAAAAAGTGATTTAGAGTTTTATACAACCGGACCCTGCTGCATGTACTTTCCTATTTTGTGTCCAAGACGACGTGGCAAACCAGAATTATATAATAACCTTAAGAATTCATGCGATTTCCAATTGGTCGAGACCCATGATCTATTATACAAATTGAATGAATTCATGCAATTAAATCTATAAACAACAATAAATACCTTCGATAAATGTGCAAAAATCACTCATAAGAGCTAGCAACTCGGCAAATCTCAACTCAGTCATTCAGCTGCGACTTCAAAATCCAATGCGGTCTTCGAAAACAACTGGTTTCTTCATTTCGTGCAACATAGGCAATGTTTAAGTGCTTTTCAATTGCCATAGTCGCTCAGAACAAAATAATTGCCTTTTTATCACATGTTTTTATTCCTTTAAAATAATGTTTTTTCACTGTTTTGATAATTTTTTAGTTTTTCCTTATTTATTACCGTCTAGCGCATTCTAAGCTTAGCCAATCAGATCTATTTGTTAAGCTGACGATATCCGATTAATATGACGACATCCACGTCGTCTTGGAGGTCGCGTCGTCTTTTCTAAATCTGTCTAGTGGACAAACACACTGACGTTAACCAGAAACAGAATATTTTGTAGGCCTAACATACCGACATCACACTTTTTCCACATCTGCTGGTCTGCTTATCAACTATTATATTTTATCTATAACATTATAGTCTTACTATTCGATTCGGCACGATGCATAGCCAACCTCGTACCCAGGGCTAGTCGCGAATTGAAGGCGGCGACGCCTTCAATTCGCGACTAGTCCTGGGTACGAGGTTGATGCATAGCAACAGCAACCAATCATTATAGCCGCCCGGATCATCAACAGTGCATGCAGTGCATCACAGTGTATGCAGTCCTTTATAAAGGACTTGAAATGTATGAATTGAACGTATCAAGTCCTTTTATATTCTAAATCACTAAATATATATAAAACCTGAGTATAAAAGGAGGTGTGAATTCAAAATAGTCCGACATTATTTGTAGTCAAATGTCTGATGACGAGGTGCCGGATTACGGATCGAAAGCTTAGAATTACATTTTTTTACAATTACAATTTTATTAAAATAAAAGAAATACAAAATAAAATGAAATATTAAATAACCCACCCGCATTAGCAAGGCTAATCTAGAGGCGGGGGTTATACACACAACAAAATAGTATAAAGGAAAATTACATTGGATTGGAATAATATACCGGGCGGGGCAAAAAAAAGTACGATTGTTTGAATTGCTGAAAAATCAAAACTAAAAGAGCAATGACACTAAAACAAGTTTATTGGCATTCAGCGATATCCAACTTAAATTTTGATGTATGCCATGCACATTTCCATGCCATATTGACAAAGATACATGCATATAAACAGGTGTAAACATTTTTGGAACTGAAGAAATTAGCTGAAAATGGCTTAATACATACATGCAACATGCAATAACTTGTGTTGAGACGCATTATACTTTATTGTCAGTACGTTCGCGCTTGTTGTTAAAAACAATCGTCTATATATTTATCAGTAAATGCATGTCCCCCAGCACGAATGCAACGTATTGCCCGTGAAATCATACAATCGAAAGAATTTTGGATCATTTGCTGTTTCAAGTTGCGGCATGCTGTAACAATCGCTTCACGAAGCTCTCTCAAATTGTGAATCGTACACATAGGCGTACCGGGCGGGGGGAAGGGGCAGTAGCCCCCCCCCAGTTTTTTGGGCAGTCGGGCAATATTCGAGTTAGAGTCGGGCAATTTTGGTTTGTTATAAAAATAAATTGAAGAAATTCTGTCAATTTTGTCGAAAATTTAGTCAATTTTGTGGCCAATGTAGTTGTTTTTGGAAAATTTGTGTGATGTTACGAAAAAATTTGGTATGTCCGGAAAATTTTTTTGACCCTTAAAATGGTACACTGACCGAAAATTTTTTGGCGACGGGGGGGTGGTCGCCAAAATAATTTTTCCGGAAAAAATTTTTCTGTACCAGTCGGGCACAATCACGAAAAGTCGGGCAATTTTCTTTCCGCCCCCCTAATTTTTTCCTTCCGGTACGCCCATGATCGTACATAGACTTGTCCCAATCAATTGGAACTACTCTCTCGTGTCGAGATTTATTTCAACAAAGTTTGGACCCAAAACAACTGGTCTGGTCAAACCAACCCACTAATTGAAACAATAATCGCAAGAAAATGGTAAAATTGTTCAATTGATTTTAATAGGGCCCTTTCAACTAATTATCGGCTGTTCCAAAATTGTTTGTTTAAGTTTAAACACAGTTATCTCAGTCAATATTGCACGAAAAGGTACAAGATATATGTCAAAATGTAAGTTAAACATCGTGGAATATACGGTGACTTATTTGAGTGTCATAGCTCACGTTATAGTAAATCAAACAGTCATACTTTTTCTCCCCCACCCGGTATATAGCTGATGATCGATTTATTTTTTTAATGCTTTTTGTTTATTTTTGCCAAATACGATTACAGTTACGTGTTGTTTCCTGGACGAAAAGAATTATATAATTATATATGCTGATTCCAAACACGGAAGGATTTACTAAGTTATGTTTCATTGGCAATTTTTGTGAGTTCCAGGAACAAGCCTTTCTCCTTGTTGAGTAGAACATTTGGTTTGTCAAACTCAACAATTGAACCTTGATCCAACACCATAATTCTGTCACATTCCTGAATCGTAGCCATACGATGTGAGATTGTTATTACTGTACAATCTTTAAACACGCCGTGAATAACATTCTGGATTTGTCCAGCAGTTTTCTGGTCTACCTTCCCAGTAGCTTCATCAAAGATTATAATTTTGTTTCGTTTCAACAAAACTCTTCCAAGATGAAATAACTGTCGCTGACCAACGCTAAAATTCGAACCACCACCAGTGCATTCGTTATCGAGTTTTTTTGGTAAACTTCCAACAAGAATGCCCAATTGCATCTGATCCAAAACATTCCATATTTCAGAATCATCAAGTTCACCTGTCGGATTCATGTTCTCTCTGATAGTACCATTAAATAGTACAGGGGACTGAGAAATAACAGAAATCCGTTGACGAGTAGATAGGATATTTAAATCTTCAATACTTAAACTATTTATAATAATATTTCCTTCAGTTTCGCCAATTCTCATCAGTGCAGCGACCAAAGAAGATTTACCAGCACCTGTCCTTCCAACAATGCCAATCTTCTCAGCAGGATTAATTTCAAATGACAGGTCCTTCAAAACTATAGGTCCATCTTTATAATGTCGAAGTGAAACATTGTTAAATTGTATAATTCCACTTTCTGGCCAATCTTTAGGAGGCTGTTCCTTGATCGCCCGTCCCTTCTCTGGTACGATCTCAGTGTAAGCCAAAATTCTTTCAGCAGATGTCATCTGAGCATGAACCTCCACAGCACTACGTACCATGCCTGTGGTGTATCCAGAAGAGCGAAACGCGTACAAAATGGTCACTGCGCCAACAACTAAAATTAGCAAAAATCGAACCACATTATATTTCTGACACTATAATGTTTATTTATCTTGAGTGACCATGCAACATATATTACCACCACGAACACATCAGCGTAACTTTCAACACAACAATCATTACAACCATGCATGGTTTCTATATATAATCATCTAACCATCGCCACCATCACAACCATGCACTAACTACCGTTTTACTACTATATAATGCAAAAGCATTATCATTCGTATCAGGTGTGACAACTATTCACAATCAACGATGCTTAAACGACTATTACTACCACAACAACTACATCAGAAAGGTGCCGGGTTAGGATGCGTGCAGTATACTTAGAAACATGCAGGACATTTATTTCTGTTTCACTACAGCAATTTATATTTCGAGTTACGATAAACGTTTACAGTTAGACACAAGTTAGAGCGCCCATGGTGTGATGATAGCGATTTTTGGAATTGTAGAGTTATAGTAGTAATGCATGATAATCGTATATATAAACTTAGTCTTCAATCCAAACTTTATGACAATATGTCAGAAGATAATGTTACTTAGTCGTCCCAACACATCAAATTATCAGCTATATATCGCCTAGTTTAAGGAATAATAAATTTCCGTCTGCCATACAAAATAAATAAAGACTGCTATTCATTCATAATTACCTGCTGATGAGGAATCTTTCACTGTATACAATTCCACCAAAACCAACAATAACGCAGAACATACAAAGAAGCAGATCCAGCGTTATTCCAAACCAACGAGCTGCTGTATAATAAGCGAACATGGCTTCATGTTGATGATCAATGTGCCTTGAAAACAAATTGGCAATTAGGTCACTACAAAATCTGGCATGAATATTTTTTGTTTCGCCAGGCTTTTCAACCAGGGCTCTCATTTTAAGGTTACAGAACACCTTTGAGGGTTAATTTTGCCTAAATTTTTTTTATTGGTTTTCATGAAATCATTAGACTAGTTCTACTATCTGACCACGTTTGGACGAAAAATGTTGAAAACTCGCAGAGTTATTTAATAAAATACATTTCGCTGCAATAAGAAAAACATTGAAAATGTAATATTAAAATTCAATTTTCTCCCGAAGAATTTTACGGCAATTACTGATTTTTAAACGAGTTGCGCTCCTGCCGGTTTTAACGAATTTTTCTCAAATTTTCACAGGACATAGCTAAAGACGTCAGTTTCAAAATTGTGTTCGGCTTTGTTCTAATTTTGGATATTTTAATAATAAGGAGCAATTCACACAAACGATTCAGAAATATGTTGCAGTCGTCAAAGAAATCGCCATATCAACGGAATGACGAAATAAACAAAAATTTCCGAACACAATTTTTTAGAACAACTATTTTACTGTATAAAAATGATATTTTCATAAATATATCTTAAAACCAGCAGGAACATAACTCAAAAGCGTAAAGGTACCGCGACTTAAGATTTTCTTGAATAATTCTGCAGTAACGATTTTCCGCAAAACGTAAACACGAATTTTGCATAGTTTTTGGTGTGAATTTGTGTATAAAATTATGTGAAATTATGAATAAATAAACATTCGTGTACATTTGTAAGCTCCAGAAATTATGCAAAATGATTTATATAAATGGTGGATGAATTTGGATCAATCTTGTAGAGATTAATTAATAAGTAAAAATTGTTAGAATAATCATATGTGTTAACAAGGATTATCGTGAAATTAAATTTCTAATACCTGTACGCAGACTCTATGAAACTCTGCTGTCGTTTATGCACGCGGATTGTTCTAACTCCTTCCATAGTGTTGGAAAAATGTGAATATAAAGGACTACCAGACTCAGACATTAAACGTTTGATGTCCATTGCGCTACTGAAGAAAAACTTTGAGATACCGAAACAGAGACCAAGTACAACGAAACAAACTGGTATGAGATAAACACTTGAGAGAAAACATAAAACAATTGCTCCCAATCCGGGCGCCACACATTGAAAGAAGTACACCAAGTTAAATGGCAGAAGATCGTCCAAGTTATTAATATCTTGTGAAAACCTGTTCAGTATTCGACCTGCAGAATTCACAGCGTAGAAATGACTAGGGGCTTGAAGTAGACAAGTAACCATTTTATTGTGGACTCTGTAGTTAGCTCGAATCGGTACAAGAAATATGCATAACCTTGACAGAATGACTATCAATATTGTGGCCAACAAAGATACTGGATAAATAATTCTCAAATTCATTAATAATTCATGAGTAATTCAGCCAAATGATAATCACCTATTTGATCACAAGATGCCATTTGGATACTTGATGAAAGTCACTAGTGTTTTCATCAAATATCTTAATTACGCATGCAAAATTACTTGAATAGAATTCCTAATCACGTTATGCTTGGTTAAGAATTCTATTCAAATCAGCAAACGAAAACATTCTGTTACGTCTCGATTCATTTGAGAAGCCATATAAACAACTCGAGCTCGTGTCTCACCGGGATATCCAAACACTCGAAAACAATGTATTAAAACACTCGCGCTTCGCGCTCGTGTTCTCATACATTGTTTTCTCGTGTTTGGATATCCCGGTGAAACACTCTCTCTCGTTGTTCATATATTACTTAACGCGCGGTGAAACTTGTCTTCTTCGTTCACAATATTCGGTAATGATGAAACTGGGATATCAACCCATACCGTGAGACCTACGAAAAGGAAACATATTTAGCAATTATTCACTGATGTCGAGGTGAATAGTGCAAGGATAGTCAACAAAATGCGAAGCGTTGATATACCACAACAAAACAAAAATGACTAAGGGCCGGTCATAAAGTACGTATGTGTACTGGGGGGGGGGGGGGGGGGTATTCCAAAATTCTACCATAAAATTTGGCACCCCCCCCAAAAAAAAAGCGTCGGAAAATATTTAATACACCCCCCCCCTCAAAGGAGATGAAATGTTCCGTACCCCCCCCCTGTTATGTTTATGGGACACACGCCATGTTGTGTAATCAAGACAATATATATTTACTCCCAAGATGCTTTGCAGCATCAGCATACATTACATCTCCCTTTCTTATGATAAACTTGCTAATATAAATCAACGACCTAAATATCAACTACACTTATAGCTATTCAGTTTTTTTTGTGTTTTTTTTTTAACTGTTCGCAACTTACTGTATTAACTGTTCGCAACTTATTAACTGTTCGCAACAACTGTCACTAATTATGATACTTTAAAGGTATAGTTACCGTGTTTTTATGTTGTTGTTTTTTTTAATTGTTTATCAAGTACTTGGGTGGTTTACTTGCACGTCCAGATCTTGTTATCACAGGATTGTGTTGCGTGTCGATGATACCATGGCTGGACTGTCCAACTGCATTCTTGGCTGTGGCTCTTGCTTTGTCACTGCTCACACTTGGCTCTTTGTTGTTTGCATGTTTCACATCACTCCTCTATTCTTTCTCTGATAGTTTACTGGAACGCAGGTGACGGCGGTTTCTTCGATACTTTTGTCTTTGTTCACTTTCAATGACATATGATCTTGGTGACTGGTGCTTCTGTAGAACTTTGGCCTTAATCCATTTCTCTCCATGTTTCATTTGTACTGTCTCTCCAGGTAGAATTCTACCTGGAGAGACATGAAGTGGTGGTAATTCTTTTCCTGTGCGCTTGTCATAGTATTGCTTTTGTTTCTCCTTCTGTTTCTTCAGAATTCGCTGAACTTCATCGGATGCTCGAGATTTCAGAAGTGGCGCTGCTGTTGGGAGACTGGTTTTTAGTCTGCGACCCATCATTAGTTGTGCTGGAGACTGGTTTATTTCTTCCAGTGGGGTGTTTCGATAGTTCATCAATGCTTTGTATGGATCTTTGGCTTTGGTGAGAAGACCCTTCACAGTCTGCACGGCTCTCTCTGCCTCGCCGTTTGCTTGCGGGTAATGAGGACTTGATGTGATGTAAGTGAACCCATATTTCTTAGAAAACTCTGCGAATTCTGCGCTTATGAATTGGGGACCATTGTCACTCACTAACTGATCTGGTATACCATATCTGGAAAACTGACTTTGGAGGTAAGTGATGGTGTTCTTGCTGCTTTGGTTATCCAGTTTGGCAATTTCAATCCACTTGGAGTGGTAGTCAACACTTAATAGGTAATGTGTCTTGTTATGTTCAAATAGATCCACACCAATTTTCGCCCAGGGGCGGTCAGGGATCTTGCTAGTTATCATGGGCTCTCTTGCTTGGGCTTTCTGGTATTGACAACAAACTTGGCACTTGGATACTTTATCCTCGATTTGGCTTGTCATTCCCGGCCAGTAGAGGAGGTCTCTTGCACGTTGTTTGCATTTCACGATCCCTTGATGTGATTCATGTATGATGTCTAGCATCTGTGGTCGAAGGGACTTCGGAACAATTAATTTGTTTCCCTTGAAGAGGAGGCCATCAACACAGGAAATTTCATCTTTACATGTCCAATACGGCTTGATCTCTGCTTGTGCATTAGCTTTGTTCTTTGGCCATCCCTCGAGAACTGCATCTTGTACTGCTTGCATCACAACATCATCAGCAGTGGCTTTCTGGAATTCTTGGTACTTTTCAGGTGATATTGGTAAGTGGGCTGTAAGGTGGACTTCATTTACTTCGAGTTCTTGTACCAGTGTTTCTTTCGTCTCTTCTAGATCATTTCTGCTTAGGGCATCAGCAACGAACAACTCTTTGCCAGGCTTGTAGACAATTCTTAGCTCATATCTTTGCAGGGCTAACAGCATCTTCTGTAGACGAAGTGGTGCTTGGTGCAGAGGCTTAATGAATATATATTCCAGTGGTTTGTGGTCTGATGTGACAAGTACTTCTTTTCCAAACAGGAACTGTTGAAACTTGGTTGTACCAAATACAATAGCCAAAGTCTCTTTCTCGATTTGTGCATATTTTTGCCGTGTTGGTGTTAACGCTCTGGAGGCATATGCAACTGGTTTTTCTTCTTGATACACCAGTGCTCCAAGTCCTTTCGAACTCGCATCTACAGATAAGGTAAAAGGTTTCTTGGGATCATAATAACTTAGCACTGGGGCACTGGTTGCCATTCTCTTAAGTTGTTGAAAGCTATCTTCTTGTTGCTTTTCCCAATGCCATGCTGTGTTCTTTTCCAACAACTTTCGAAGAGGTGCACTGACTTCGGCCATATTGGGTAAAAACTTTGCGAGATATTGGATAAACCCAAGAAATGTTTTTAACTCTTTCGTGTTGGATGGTTTGGTCATGGCTTGTACAGCTCTTATTTTCTCGGGATCTGGCTTGAGACCGTCCTTGGTTAAAAGATGACCAACATACGCAATTTCTTCTTTTCTGATTTGGCACTTCTTCTGGTTTAGCTTTAGGTTGACTCCTTGGACTCGGTCGAGGACTTTCTTTAACCTTGCATCATGTTCCTGGATATCTTTTCCCCACACTAGGATGCCATCTACTATTGCTTCAGCACCATCAATGTCTTCCAACACCTGTGACATTTTCTTTTGGAAAACCTCTGGGGCCGATTTAATTCCGAATGGTAGTCGTGTGAAGCGGTATCTCCCAAACGGTGTGTTGAAAGTGCATATAGTTTGGAACTCTCTTTATTCAATTTCATTTGCCAATATCCTGAGGTGGCGTCTAACACGGAGAACACTTTTGCTTCTGGCATTCCAGCTACAACTTCTTCAGTCGTTTTCATTGGATAATGTTCTCTTTTGATTGCTCGATTAAGATCTCTTGGATCAATACACACTCGGATTTTCTCGGGTTTTATTACTGTAACCATGCTGTTGACCCAATCTGTGGGTTCTGTTTGCTTCACGATAACACCAGTATCTTCCATCCTCTGTAATTCTTCTTTGATTTGCTCTTTCAGGGCTAACGGGACTCTCCTTGGTGGGTGGACAACAGGGGTATACGAACGATCAATTTCAACGGTATGTTCACCAGGCAAACATCCAAGACCAGTAAACAACTCATCGTATCCTTTCAACAGTTCATGTTGTTGTATTGGGTTGAATTTTGGTGGCGAGAAGGGATCTGCATTGTGATGATCTTGTGACTTCGAGGTCTCCACTGCATGTACTCTTTCTACTAGACCCATGTCTTTGCATGTGTTGGCACTTAATACTGGTGATGCTGGAATATCAACAACATGGAACTTTACTTGGTATGTTTTTCTTTTGTACTCACATGGTAAAGTAGTTACTTCTTTCGTGGTGATGACATGACATGACCAGAGTATGACTTGAGCTGTGCTTCTGGTTTCTTTATATTTGTGTTGATTCCAAGACGTTGGAGATCTTTAATGGAAATTACATTACACCTTGCACCTGTATCGAGCTGAACATTTAAAGTTTTTTCGCAATTTTTACATCTTCATACCATTCATTCTTGTTTATAGCATCTGTAGTTCCCACAGAACCAACATATAGTTCACTGTCACTCTCTTCAGACTCCTCTTCTTCAACTCCATGCACTTGCCTTTTTCTTTCCTTTATTTTGAACTTCGATTTGCACATTCTTGCAAAATGGTTAAGCTTTTTGCATTTTGCACATGTCTTTCCTTCTGCTGGACATTTATTTTGGTCATGTTTTATACCACACTTGCTGCAGTGTTGTTTATAAGTATAACCGTCTCTGCTGTTTGGACCTTTTCGTCGTTTGTCATCTTTATATTGAAATTTTAAATTCTCTCTCGTTCGTCTCTGAGGCTGTGTACATTGTTATCTTCAGGTGCCATACTTTGAAGCTGCCAGCTGGGTTTTGACATTTCTTGTGTTCGAGCGATATCAACTGCTTTTTCTAAGGTTAGGATCTTCTTGTATTAATTTCTTTCGTACTTTTTGCGAATAACAACCGATTACTACTCGATCTCGAACCATTTCGTCTGGGTCTTTGTATCCATAATCTTTAACTTCGATCTTGAGTTTAGTCAAGAACTGTTCGAATGGCTCCTTTTCTTGCTGTACTATATTATGAATCTTGTAACGAGCAAATATATTATTTGATTTGGGCTTTACATACGCTTCGAATCTTTCGTAGTAAGTTGTGAGCTTTTTCGATTCTTCGCCTGTTAAATTCCAGTATTATATACATCTCGGCCTTTCTCTTCAACCCATATCATCAGATAATTGCATCTTTGTTCTTCGGATTTGCCTTTTAGTGGCCCACCAAATTCACAATGTTGTTGAAACGATTTCCATGCTGCTGGCAAGTCACCGCTCGACCAGTTCATTTTTGGCATATTTGAGGCTGGAATCCCTTCCATTTCCGTTTACACTTGTTGTCGGACCTTTATTCCTTGTATTTCTATGGGTTTTTTTAATCGGATGGCTATCTTTTCAAGCTCTATTTAGTGGATTTCTCCTGACACCATGTTATGTTTATGGGACACACGCCATGTTGTGTAATCAAGACAATATATATTTACTCCCAAGATGCTTTGCAGCATCAGCATACATTACACACCCCTCCCCGCACCCAACCAATCACCCTCTCCCCAGAAACATAAAATTCTAAGAACATAACTGTTTTGCAAATTATTGCAATCAATTGTCTGTATTGAAATATTGCATGTGCTACATTGCAATTTACGGCTAGGAACATTTAGGAACATACACTCGATTTTTTAAAAAATATATTGTATTGTAAAAGTCTGTAGTTTTATTAATCATAGACATAGTATTCCACTCATTTTTTGTTTCGTATACCCTCTCACAAATGTCGTAATTCGTCTCATACCCCCAAAAGTTAGATAATTTGTTTCATACCCTACACCCCACCCCCCACCCCCACCCCCCAGTACACATACTTTATGACCGGTCCCTAAAACTGACATATTACCAAATGACGTATTACCAAATGACGTATTACCACGAATAATCACGCGAGCGACACTTGTTAGGAAGATGGCAGGGCCCCCATGGCAACCATGGGACAACTTTTTTACTGAAGTTACACATCTGTCCATACTTTATGTATGATAATATCACAGGAATAACTATAGAATCACCCGCCAACAGGAACCCATTTTAAAGAAGGTCCATACGCCTATGTTCCTACAGGACCTTATACGATACGTGCCTGCTTTGCGGGCCTACGCGCCTACATGCCTACTATGTGCATGGATGCCAGCCACTCCGCACGTTGTAAGTAAACCCTATAACCTAACCTTACTCCAAGTTTGCTTCTAAACAAAATCTTGTAGAAAAAAAATTTTGACGAAATGTCATTAGATCTGAGGTTAGCGAAATTCTTCCAAGAATGTAGCGTACTAAATATAACTTTACTTGTAGAGCATACCGCATTTTAGTTTCGGCTTAACTTTCCGCTTAGCCCGGGGAAAACCTTAAATCTTAATTGAAATAGCTGTGTAGTGTGTACTGTATGTATCATGTACAGTAATGTGCGTATTTGTATAGCCCCAGCGAGTTAACGATCCGCAGAGCGTCTTGTTTACTATAGAAATATTATAACTTAGCACGAAACCTCGTCCTGAGGTCATTGCCTGTGAGGATTCAACCGTAATTCGGAAATGACCAATTGAATTGTATTCAGCATACATTGCAATGAAACGAAAATATTATTCGACGTTTCTTTATCTACTGTATATTCATTAGTGGAGTTTATCTTACCTTGTCCAGCAACAATGATCAATAAAATGAGTAAAAGCATCAACGCTGGGGCACCAAACATGAAATACTTTGCATCAACATTGAAAGAAACGCTTCCTACTTTACGCTCTTCTTCAGCTTCACGTAACTGTTCAGCATCTGCAGGATCATCAGGATCATCATCTGCTTCTGCATGTTCACTCTCCTCCTCTCTCTCTTCTGCTGTGCTCTCGATGTTCTCAGTGATCTCTAGTTCTGGTATATCTTTCTTTACTTCTTCCACTGTTCCCTGAGCGACGACCATACCTGCATTGAAGAAATTTAGAATCTCCAGCCATGTAATTCTCACGATATAATAATTTTGATTGTAACTCTCAGTGCCAATGTAGCTATATACCATATACGAACGCGCTTCGTTAGAAAGAATGTATCTTGGTAAGAAGACGTTTTAGAGTTACAAATGTATCGAGTAATTTGGATCCCATGTTTGCCCCCTCCCCCTTCCTCCATAGTAAACTATTTGGACCCCTCAAGCAAAGGTCCCTTTTGTCCGAAGATTGACTTCAAATGAATGTTTTTAATATTCCCTTAAGCAATGATCTTGTTTTACACTGGAAACTCTTTTAGTCATTTGGTTGAATATATAAAAATTCTATTAGTTCTAATTCCAAGCGATTTTCATGACGGTTTTAATTTCCCGTGAGGATCATAGTACGTCTGTCACTATCAGACAGGCATTAAAATAGCGTGTCCTTGCACACACTTTGTGTCCATGTAAAAGACGAATGTGCCCTTGTGAAATTGAAAAGTGTGTACTTGAAAATATATTAAACTGAAAATATATTAATGTAATCGACACAAAATGGCCAATTCTGTTCTCAGAACTCTGGAAATGCCATTTCAGATACCTCTTAAAAGCTAGCGTCTTCGAAGATAAACTTGTGGCTAATTCGCCAGTCGTTCTCGTGAGTCTGCGGATGCATTTATACCAAAAATACGCCTCGGAAGGCAAAGTGTGTCCTTGTAAAAATTCCGTATTTTAATGCCTGCTATCAGATTACCAAGGCATGTTGTCTTTAGTGAGAACACGGCTCCCTCATCGGAGCTTAAGTGAAGGCATGTGCAACTGATTTCTTTTGTAAACTATACCTCAGTCTTCTGTAGTTATATTAATGTAAATAAAACTTGTGTAAGGCATGCGATAAGCTTTTATCGAAGTAAAGAAACCAGCTAACTCAAGACACGCAGCAGGAGGCGAAGTAAACAAATATGGCGCGCTCAACACATCAAGGCAACGTATGAAAATTACATGCGGTTTACAGAGCACTTTCTTGCTTTCCTTTTGAACAACTAACCATTCATGTAAGTCAATAATTGGTAAATCTAAATTTTCCCCTTGAGAATTTTCGATCTAGTGCAGTCTAACAATCTCATTTTCTCCAATAAACTGCGAAAATTGACAAATTTGTAACTTATTGGCCGATTCATCTTGCGCTGTTAAAATTAAGGGGGGCGGGGGTTGTCAAGGGGGAATGTTTATATATACATTAGCTTACTTAGGGACCCCTAGAAAGTCATTTTAGGCCTTCCATGTGACCGTGTAAACCACAAAGTGACATCAAAAGTTATGCCAATCTGGAGCCATATTTCTCTATTTAGATAAATGCTGTTAGGCTGTAAGGAATTTTATGGTCAAGATGAGATATATATCTTCCTATTTCTACCTTAACTTAGTCGACTAGATACAAAAAAGCGAAAATATAGGACGCGCAAAATCGCGTAGCATACTTCGCGTGAAAATGGAACCGCATGACGCTAAGTTCTAATTACGTAATTAAACCTTAGCGGGAGCAAAATGCTTAGCAACTGACCACCGTGGCCAGATTATTGCGACCTTTCAACATTGACGTAGCACACAAACGGCACATAAACTTAGGTAATATTTCACAAAAGACAAAACTGCATCAAAACAAACAAAAAATGCTATGTACATGACACCTTGCAGAGACTGTCCACAACGATACATAGGTCAAACCTCGAAGAAAACTGAAACACGAATAACTGAACACAAAAACGCCATGAAACGATACGATTATAAATCACTACCTGCAGCACACACACGACAGCTGCCATACCTTCAACTGGACAGAAACCGAACTATTAGGACGAGCACAAACAAAACACGCACGTGAATTTAAAGAGGCATGGTACAGTATAGACGGTAATACAATTAACCGACACGTTGAAATTCCCACTGTTTACTTACAACTTAAAACAACACGTAAATGTCCTACTAATAACAACGATACTATGACTAATACTAACTTCCAAATAACACTTAATTTAACTTCCTTCAACATCCGCAACACAACAATCCAAACATTCCAATGACGCCATCCCTAGCAGCGGAATTCATTCAACCATGACACTGAACGCATTCTTCAACCAGCAATGAGATCAGATCAACCGCGGAACAGCCAATTAGACGGTCTCAACGTATACAGGAACGTAGCAACACCGCAAAACTTTAATTAAGTGATGTACATATGTTTATTTTAATCTCAGTATTCTGAAGAAGGCTCGAAGTACCGAGTCTTTAATTCGAGAGAGAACTTTAATTAATTATAATATGCCTGGATTACAAATCTTTAAACATATATATATATATATATATATATATATATATATATATATATATGTATATATATATATGTATATATATATAGTGCTCAATACTATAAACAGTACAGTAGAATCGCCTGAAGATCGATCAGACAAGATCGTGAAAATCAGAGTAGCGAAAAAACATTGTTATTTTAAGAATGAGATATTTGTAACGTTAATTATATATATATAATATTATATATATATATAATATTATATAATATTATATATATATATATATATATATATATATATATATATATATATATATATATATATATATATATATATATATATATATATATATA